TAGGGGTTTACTAAAGCCCCAAAGAAATCTAAGCCATCTACAGGTGGGTAGTTTTAAGGTGGGTAGTCTCCCATAAGCCTTCCATACCACTCCTATAAGGTAAAGGGGTCTTATGGGAGTACTATGGAAGAGGAACTACCCACCTGAAATGGGCTTTTAAGAAACCAACCGTTGAGGGATGTACATATCCTGCCCTCCAAGGTAGGTTTCTTGAGTCACAAGGGCACAGCCTCTGTCATAATGTGTGTGCACGGTACTCCTGATCCGAACAGAACCCTGCGGTTGCCACAGAATCACATCGTTCTGGGCGGCATAGAGCATGGGTTTGCCGCAGATGGAGTATTCCATGCTCGGTCGGCGTCTTTGGGTCTGCGGCATATAGTGTCACGCTAAATCCATGGCGCAGGAGCTATGGTTTGGGATTTGGGAGCCCAGGACCTTACTCTGCTTGTTGCAATGTTCCATCACGGCTTAGCTGCCGAAGCGTGACAGACCTCGTCGCATGTTCAGCTTCAGTGAGCTCCACCTCTAAATGTTAGCGCCTTCGCATGTTCTTCCGTGAACTCCACCCCCTAAGAGGTACAACTAGCCCCTGATCCTCGTCGACACTCCACGCCAATCCGGTTGCGAGCTCTCACCCGATCTGGGGTTCAGGGTCTTGCAGGGTTTAGGGATTGAGACCCCAGCCAAGTCTCGAAGTCCTAAACCCGAAACACTAGACCGCTAGATCCCTAAACCCTAAACCCTAAACCCTAAGTGTTTAACTCTCAACAGCGAATCTTCAGGTAGCCTGGCCCACGAACTGCCGCCCGAAGTAGTCTAAAGCCGAAACCAGGCAGCCACAGCGATGCTCGAATGGCTGCAGGCCCAGATGGTAGTTCCAGCGAGGTTGAGAATTTAGGATCAATGGGGTATAAGGCTGCAGAATATAGACTCCTGAATGATATCCCCGCCGGTTCCAGAATGTAAGTATGCTACCACAGAAGCTCCGAAACCCAAGCTAGTGTTTTAACACCTCAACCATAAAGTCAACCTAGACACCCTCTGTTATGGCCTACTAAATCCCACGATCAAGGACCATAAGGACTCTATCAAAGGGTACTTGGGAATTCCTGGGAACAAAGTTTAAACACAGCCACACTCTCCCGCAGGCAGGTCTTGCCATGCGCCGATGGGCTGAGAGCGCACGGCAGTCTGCGTAAACATTGTATATAGGATAAACTTTAAGGCTCTTCGGAATTATGTTTAGTTAGATTAGTTTTTAATTCACAGTATAACTTAATGGAATAATAAGAATATGACTTTTGTTTTGGATTCTAAGGGCGGCTAAGTAAACTTTGCGTATAGGACAGAAGCCATGACAAGCCCTGACTGTTTGGGATTTGGGGGTATGTTCTTTCGGTAAGCTACCTTGAGTTTGCTTGGCTTCACATAACCAACAAAAATAGTTTTCAATTGGTATTTGATATCTAGAGATCGAACCATGCTTAGTATATAACCCTACCGTAGCTAAAGGGATTAACCTTTTCTTGGATTTTGGTATTCAGCCACGCGGATTTCGATGAACCCTGAATCCTAAGCCCCCTAAACCCTACACCCTTAACCCTAAACCCTAAACCCTAAACCGCTGAGACCTCCAGGAAACCCTGAGCCGGCCTAGACTTTCGGCCGCACGACGCCCGAAACCGAGAGCAATCCGAAACATGGGTTGAGGGTTCAGGGCCCAGGGTCTAGAGTTGGCGTCGTTTAGGGTTTAGGGTTTACCTTAACCCCAAAGAACCTAACACTCATATGAAGAACTCATATTAGGGAACCCTAAAAAACTAGGATGCCCAGTAGTACCCTTATTCCCTTTTTGTAGTCCTAGGTTCCTTATAAAGTTACCCAATACCAAAAAGAGAGGCCTTTTTATTCTTAGGTTACTGGGTATCCTAGAAAAAGATCCATAACAAGATTTTCAACCACTAAGATGGGGCCGTACACCCCTGCAACCCCTACTTGTGCTGGTAGTTCCGGTAGCGGCGCAGAAGGATCATCACTACGGGATAGATATTCAGACCTTGAGTTCGGGGCTATGGTAGAAGCCAGAAAGTTGGAACATTAGTATCCTCATGCCCCTAAAGTAAAGTATACGGGATCCTAGCACAAATCCTCCTAAATCCATGTTCCAACTTTCTGGCTTCTATTGTATACTCTACCCAAATTAAGGAACCCAAAGTTTTAGGGCTTATGGCCCTTTTTAGGTTTTAGGGTTTATGGTTTAGGGTAGCCCACCTGCTGGTTGGTAGTGTTGCTCTATTCAAAGCTTCCAGGTCAGGAGTTTAAGGTTATATATATAAAGCGTGGTTTTGGGATTCAGGAATTGGGCTTTAAGCTACTAGGACCTACTAGGATCTCACGTCACACTAGGCTGTGCCAAATGTGTGCAGCTGACACTCCTGCCAAAGTGCTGCGTAGCTCTCCGTGCCCGAGTCGCCAAAGGAATCCGGGGTTTGGGGTTCAAGGAGCCTGAGTTTCTTCAACTTTCCAATCAAGAGCATGTAGGTTTAAAGTTTGCACCACTGACGAGACATCTCCAACATCTCGTGCGAAAGTGGCCCATGTGTTGGTGTGTTTGATTTTCGGTGCTCGGGAATGCCAATTTCACTCGGCTGACTACTGTACCCGGTTGTCAGGGCGAGCGTGTCTTTGCCGGCCCTTCCTCGAGACCCACGGAGTGCGCTTCTGCCAAGAGGGTTCTGGCACTCCCAACAACCTTCTGAAACGGTGCCGGGCTGTCCAGAATCTTGAACTTCAGCTGAGCACCTGAGCCGAGGAAAGCCCTCAAGCCTAAACCGTACGTACTTGCCGCAGGTTCTTATTAGAAACCTTGATATAGAATTAAATTATGGAGACCCTATAAGAACTAGGTTTTGGGATGTAAGCCCCAAGCGCTTTAGAGGATGGAATGCTCCGTGTGGCAGGCGCGGACCAGCGCAGGGGACGCCCGCGGGCTGTGTGCAGGCGTGCATTCGTATTCGTGGTAGCATGGGCGCCGCGGTGTTCAAGCCTTTCAGCTCAAAGCCTTAGGGCTGGGTTGTATAGGGTTTAGGGCTCTTGGGGGTCAATTTCTTAACCTTATAACGGCTATTAGGCTCTTGGCTTTATTGAGGGTTCACTTGTTCATGGCCCGGTGACGTTCGATGTCTGATTTGACAATGATGCTTGGCCTTGGGATTCCCTGTGACCTAGACCACCTGAACCAATCGAAAAGTCTTGGGTCTAGCTTGTGGGGTTTAGGGCTTAGGGTTCAGGGTTTAGGGTCAAGGTTTAGGGCAAGTTTAGGGGTTTGGGGTTTAGGGGGTGAGGGTTCAAGGTTAGTGCTTCGGAGTGCTTCGGGCAATGCAGATCAGGGCCGATAAAATCATGGAAGCTACGAGCACATGGGCAATAAGTGTGCCGTACCATTTGGGGGACTTAAAAACGGACCCTACGGCTGATGGACAAAATCCTGCATGACCCTAAGGACTCTAAACTATGGGAATTATGGTATCTTCCTTATAGTGGGTAATGCAGGATTTATACCATCAACCGTAGTTTAGACAACTACCCATGTGAAGTCAGAGCGAACCCCGGCAACCATCCAGAAACCTGCTGCTTTAAGGGTTTTGTGGACCCCCAAAAAACCTTCTTTTCAGAGTTCTCTACTTTGATTTCCTTACTTGTATGAGCCTTTAAGCTTACTTGAATTTGCTCTGCTTCTTAGAGGAGTACCGGAGAAGACAGAGTCCCGGAGCTCCTGAAAGTCGCACCGTTTTGGATTCACGGTCGACTCAAGTCTATGTAGCCCATGAGTAGTGTAGAGGCAGAAATAACTAGCAATACTGCTTTGGAGATTCCTTATGATAGTCATTTGTATACTATACCCCAAACCCTATTCTAAATAATAAGGCCCCCATTATAGTACCCTCATAGATCCCTTATAGCAGCCCTTCTAGACCCCTTTAAAGGAACCCTATTGGAATTGTTACCTGGAGGATCATGGGACGTAGTAGGCATGGTTATGAGTAGTATCTTAAGAGGGGTTATAGCATCGCTACCTTAACTATAACCCTAGTTGCTAAGTCCCATGATCCTTGAAGTAGAGCAACGGCTGTCTGGGTTTATTGTCTTCGGAGTTTGGATCGAATTAGAACCTAGGTCCATCTGGGTTTGCGGCGGTTTGAGGGTTTAGAATTTGGTGTGAGGCCTAGTGCTGAAGGTGTAACAGTAAGCCAATCAATGAGTATTTCGAAGCCACGTGATTGACAGCTACCTGAGGCTCGGCACTCTTTGCCGCAAAGCCCGTCAGCTTCCAGCCGGGCTTTGTCTCCGCCCCACTCTGAGCGAGAAAGGATATAAATATATGTATATATATATATATATACACCTACACATACCCACATACACACATGAACCTACATATATATATATATATAAACATGTGTGTGTATATGTATATATGTATATGTATATATATATATATATATATATGGTATATGTTGACCTCCGCCTGCCCATGTATGCAAGGGTCTGTGTCAATCCCCGTGTCTGCAGTGCAGATTCGAGGACTCTGCCAAGCTGGCTCAAGAAATACTCGAGACGTTAAGTTCGAGGCAAGCAGCTGGCATCGTCATGGAGCAAGAGCACGTTCTGAAACCCACATCCTACGATGGTCAATTTTGCGTGCTAAATTTGCAATGAAGTACAATAGGCCCAAATCTGACGTAGTGTAGGATCATGGGAGCAGTTGTCAGGAGTCGCATGTGAGTGCCAACCCAACTGTTGAAATCGCAGTGTAGGGTTTGCGGTTGCCATTCTGTGAGTGTCAGAGTCGAGGGTTCAGGTTGTCTGGGACCCAGAGTAGGCCCTTATTCCCTTTTTTTATGGTTTAGGTTCCCTTATAACCCCCTTTACACCAAAAAGGGCACCCTTTTTATTCCTAGGTTACTCTTAGGTCTAGAGGTTGTTAGGTCGGCACAATGGTGGGGCCAAGCTATGCTGACAAGTGGAAGACCATCAAGTCGCTTGGCCGAGACATCAGGGGAGTCTCGTACTAGCTATAGGGTTTAGGGTTTAGGGATAGACATCTAGACTCTAGACGGTGTTTGCCGTTGATTCAAGCCTTTTTTGGTATTGAGGTTTCCAGTTATTCAGACGTCTGATCAGCTGCAGTGTATTTGCAGATGAAGGCGTTGCACAGTGAGAGCGACTCTTGGCTGACACAAAGGTGTCACCTAAACCGAGACGTTAAAACCCAAACCCTCTAGGGTTACAAACTAATTTCCTATGGGTCCGCCATAGAGAGTTGATACATACCGATACTATAGCCTACTACAAAACCTCATTCCAACGCTTAGGGCGCCGACCTTGCAGTAAGGTTGAAGCTGAGTCCAAATGGGGTCTGCATTGCGACCATGGACTCGGGTGATGCCGGGGGGGTGAACTTGATCACCGGGACTCTCTTCAAGGAGCCGTATTGAGGGAGGTTTTACTTCTTCAAAGCACCTGGCACCGTTGGTGCTTCAAGGAGCCGTATATCCTCAAAATCCTTTGATCGCAAGTTTAAGTGGCCCTAAACCCTAAAAGCTAAACCCTAAACCCTGCAGACCCCAGACACCCTGTTAGCACAGAAGCCTTGGAAGCTCTATCCACCCCATAAGCCCTGCGAAGCCCTAGATTTGACAATGGAGCAAAAACGCCCTCGACCTAGTTGGTGAATTCTCAGTGCAACCTAGAGGCTCCTCCTATAGGTAGGATACCCTATAATTTACCATAGAAGGGTTAGGATAACCATATTCCAACTTTCTGGCTTTTACCTTATACTACCATTATGGAATTAGGGCCCTAAAACCATACTAAGGATGGTCTTTTGGGACCTGATTCCATAGTGGCAGTACATGAGGAGCCTCAGTGCAAAGACCCACATCCCAACCGCCAACGTAGACAGACAGAAGCCCTAAAGCCCTACCCAGGGGCCCCATAGTAGTTCCTTTTTGGGATTACTTTATAGGATTCTATATATGAACCCCAAAAAGGAACTACTTTGGGGCCTGCAGGTACACCCTAAACTCCGCAGTCGGAATCCCTAGGAAACCTAGACTGGGGGTTTTTGGTGTAGGGATCAAGGAAGGCTTGATCCTCAACGCTACCTGTAGCCGAAAAACCCTACCTCTTTTAGAGTTCCTTATTAGTTATGGCTTCTGTATATAATTCTTCGAAAAGGTCGGAATTTTGGCCACAGGTCGGCCCCAAGAGTTATCAACTCTGAGCCTTTCACCAGGAGTTTGGCGACATGGTCAAGCGCGTGGCCCGTGATGATGCCATTCGGGTTCTGGTGGTCCGAAGTGCCAATGTGCCGCGGCCACGCGTTACGGGGTTTTACACGTGCCGGGCTTCGGGTTCAGGGTTTAATTAGTTGTAGGGTCCTTAAGGGGGGGTGGTTCAAGGGGGGAGGGTACTAGGGAGCTTTGGGGAACCTTAGGGCCTTAGGGAAGCTTAGGGAGTATTGGGGAATAATGGGGATTACCAGGTTACCTACCCCCCTTGGACCACCCCCCCTTAAGGACATCCTAAATTAGGGGTTTGTTTTGGCGTCTTTTCTCGCTGTTACAGTAAGCAGTGGACTCGGACTGTGGATGTTGACTTTAGACTCAAGACAGAGCAGAGTGTCGAAAATGCCGATAGCGGTAATACAGATGGATACGCGACCAATGTCTTGAGCACTATAAGGGGAAAGTCTTGGTTGCCCAACATGCTTAGTGATGCCCCGTCTTGCTGTCAGGCGCCCAAGTCCTTTTGCAATCGAGGTCAAGTTTCCCACGAAAAGTTTGTGCTTGGCGCCAACTTGAAGCCTTTTCAGATTATAATGTCCCGAAACCCCAAGCCTAAACCCTAAACCCGAGCCGTAAAATAGAAGCCTGGACGATAACCTACGTGATTGGTTAGAAATAGTGAAATAGTTGTACAAAACTGGACTATAATATACCCCAGAGCCTAATTATACAGGCCTGTGTATTACACACCCAGTCCCCGAAAGTAAACCTCTAGCACACCCGTGCGCTGCACGGCGCATTAACTCCGCATCTCTGTGCAGCAAACCTTCGACCCGAACCCAAAACCTCGAGAGCTCCTGGATACTCTAACCACTAAACCCGCCCTTCGGAGTGAAAACTGAGTGAAACAACAACCGACCTTAAACCCGCAAACCCCAACGGCCAACTATGTGAAAGCGAGGAGCATTTTTGGCTGGCGCACCTCGATGTCAACAGTATCCTGTGCCCTGGCAAGTGGGATTCTCGAATCCTAGGTTCCAAACTGGAGGATTTATGGGGTTTAGGTTTGAGGTTTCGGGCTTGGATTTTGGGTTGTGGATCTGCGCCTACTGGATCACAGATTTGCAGATTGCCCTGAGCCCCAAATCCTAAACCCTCAACCCCGAAAGGCCCTAAACCCCAATCCCTGAACCCCTAATTAAACCTTAAAGCCCTATAGATCCCTTATAGTACCCTTATAGATCCCTTTAAAGGAACCCTTACAAGCCTACTCCCCCCCCCCTCGCCATGCTGTGAGGAGTGAGCCGAAACCTCCCACAGAGCGCGGCGCGGTGCTCAATGAGCCTTGCTCCAGTTATAAGTATTTTATGGGGATATTACTGCCTTACTGGGCCTCACTATAAGGGGTTTTATATGTGACATCCCTATCCTTGGTCCGGTGCCGATCTGGTGTTTTTACTTAGATAGCGAACGGGGGAACTTTAAACTTTTTGGCCTTATATATTAGCTCTATCTTAGAAAGGTTGAACTTTTTGGGGCCCAGCTGTTGAAGAGGAGAGTATAAGCATTTAATAGGGATATCATGGGATATCCCTACCTTACTAAGCTTCACTCTAAGGGGTTTTATATGGGATATCCCTATCCTATCTTTTTGCTTGTGTTCGTTTTTGGGGGGGCCCTAGAGCTCCAGTTGTCGGAGTTACTTGACGTCGGGGGTGTCATCTTGCTATTCAGGGTTTATAAAGTGCAGGGTGTATAACTAACCCTCTATTGTGGAGGAGCTAAGGAGCCAGGGGTGATGATAATCCCTACTTAATATAAGGAGCTAAAGAGCCACGGGAACCCCAAAACCATTGGTTAGATAAGCCTTTCGTCAAACATGTGCGGGTCTCCTGCATGTGCGTCCCCTACTTCTCCTCAGGGGTACTTAGAAATACTTTTTAGTTTTTGGTCATGATAGTCCCTAAAAAATGGCTAAAATTACAATTTTTGCCAGGGTTCTAAGCTCAGTATAGTCTCGAAACCCGAAGTTTCACACTCAGGGCTACTTTGCTGTGCTCGGTCCTAGAAGTACTTGCTCGCGCGAGTTGAACCATGCTGGTCCATGCTATGTAGGATTCTGATAAAGAAACCTTAGGCCTTTATTAGGGCTCCTTATAAGAATCATTTTGGGGTTATAGGCCCAGGTTTTTTTTTTTATCAGGTTCCTACATTACTGATCACTCCGGTTGCTTACCTTGGATTAGTAGGGAATGGAGGAATGGGGTACAATTATAACTACCATTACTACCATTCTTCCATTCCCTACTAACCAAAGGTAGGGTTGAAGAGCTCGTCAGGCTGTGCGCATGCCTGAATTCAGGATGCAGCCTGTGAGTTTGATTCCAAGTTTCGGCAAGATACGATTGATGATCTTAACCTTGCATTACCCATAATAGGGAATATGTGGGAATTATGGCATATTCCTTATTATGGGTAATGCAGGATTTATAAAATCAACAGTATTGCATGCGTCATCTCATCACCTGCAGAGGCCGATTTAGTCATGGCAGTTTTGGCAGGGTTAGCTTTGCGTTCAAGGTATCCCTAAATCTTGAGCTACCCCAAAAGCCTGAAGCGACAATCCCAAACCATGAAGCCCCGATGTCCTGTATTTGCGGTTTGCCAGTTGGTTGTTGCTTGTTTGTGGATGTGCTTCTGTTGTCTTTTTTGTTTGGCCACGTGTTGAGAGTTCTCTGTGATATGTCAGCTTCTGTTGATGCTCTGTCTTTCTCCTACCTTAAACCTTGAACCCCTAAACCACTACACTGCAAATGGGCAGAGGTCTAATATCCCAAGCAAAAAACCATGGCTATTCATATCCATGCAAGACATGCGCAGCTTGGTTCATTCCACACCATGAAAGCACAAAGTGCTATCTATACTCAAACCCCGGATCCCAAGCGTTTAGTTCGAGTTTCAACCGGCTTTCGCAGCTTTAACGTTCTCGGGCTGGGGCTTCTGGAAGTGTTCCCAGCGATTCGGAATTCGAAGTCTGCTTCTGCATTAAGCCCTGAACCCTAAACCTTAAACCCTGCCTAAACCCTAACCATGGATAAACCAGATGCAAGGAGTGGCACTCCAACATGGAGATCCTGCGGACGATGCCGAAGGCCAGCGATTTGGTTTTGAGATGTCAGTCCATTTCTACGCTAAACCCTGAACTTTAAACGCTATAGTTCTATCTTAATTCCGCAAGTCCTTGAATCGCCCTTAAAACTCCAAATGCGCTACACAACCAGTTTAAGAACCCTTCAAAGGAACCTTGATCTAAGTGTTAAGGCGCCTGCAACTCTAAGACTCCTATAGAACCCTCTGAAGAACCCTTCGCAGGAACCCTGGTCTAAGTTGGTAGTTGTCAATGTTAGGGTCCCTTTGGGGGTCCCTATACTGATACGGCACCTAATATCTAGGGTACCCCAGAAGGGACCACAATCTTGACAACCACCCAATAAGTATTAAGGCACCTCTTAAACCCGTATAGACCCCCTTTCCAAGAACCTCTTCGAAGGAACCCTGATCTAAGTAGAAATGCCATCCTAAACTCTACACCCTTCAGGCGACAATCGCAGAGCTCGCTGGTCGAGTCGGTGGCGGAGGAGTTTTGCTTTCAGGGGACGTTTATTGTTGGGTTTGGGAAAGTTTTTAGGGTTTAGCGGTTTGGGGTTTAAGGTTGGGAGGGTTTATGGGTTCAGGGCTATCGAGTTGGGGGGTTCATTATTTGGTTTGGGGTTTAGGGATACGATGTAGCGGCAAGGGAGCCCAAGACTGTTTAGGCTTCTTTTTACACTCCAAAGGCCTGCAAGGAATGTTGGACCTGAGAAAGTTTACGGTTTTTTCCATGGGCAAAGCCTGTTCTTTAATTTCGACAGGCACCCTGAGCTCTAAACCCGAAGCCCTAAAGAAGGGTGCACTTGGAAAGCGTTCGAACTCTTACCAATCCCAAGCCGTCTTCAGGTTTTGGGGTTTAGGGGTTAGTCTAGGGTTACCGTTATAGGGGCCTAAATAAGTACAATATCATTCGTTAGGTTCCTTATCATAACCACACGATGATATACACTGAAAGCCTCATTCTAACAATCAAGCCCGATGCATTACAGAACCCTGCTATAGATCCCTTCTAGACCTGTTATTGAACCGTTTAAAGGAGCCCTAGAATTGATTATTACGGCCCCTACATTGGGGGGCTGCCGGTTTGGGGGGATTTTGGGATTTTGGGTCTAAAGTTAGGGCCCTACACCCTAAACCTGAACCCTAAACCCCAAAACCCTAAACCCTTTGAGGGCTCTCCGAGTCTGAACCCACTCCAATGTATGTCCGTATGTATATATAAATATATATATATATATATATATATCTGTATGTATATACACATGTTGTATGTTCACACACACATATGTATATATATATATATATGTTTATGTATATGCAGATGCCAGCTCAACTTGCTGCGGCGACCGCCGCAGCCTCGCTTCCGAGGTTTACGTTTTAGGTTTCCTGTATAGATCTGAGCCAGGCCACGAGTTCGCCCTCAACTTCGACATGCGCTTCGGGGTCTATGGTGTGACCAAGATCTGCTTCTTGGCACTGTCCATTTGTGTATCTTCGGCGTGAAATCCAAAGAATGTGAGTTGGACCTGCTCTCAATACTCAGTGGTTGGGGTCAGCATCAGCGGCTTTCGATACGAGTCCATTGATAATCTTGGTGGGGTTGTCGCAGTAGCATAATTTCAATCTGCCTCAGGACATTTCGGCTTCTGTAATCCTTTACCAAGGAGGTTGTGATCCTGCGCTCAAAGCCCACAGAGCCTGGGTTTCTCAGATTGCATACATCCTACATTCTAGACGAACTTGTAACATCCGAAGGTCAGATGGAGGTCCCGCTTGGCATCCTTCCGGGGGGTGGCGCCTGCGTGCAGCATGGCTTCAAGCTATATACTACCTAACTCAGGGCTTAATGCCAAGTACGGCTTACATGTTCGGGTCTAGGGTACCAGTGTATCGCAGCGATAAACATTCCAAACGATCAATACACCTTCCTCCATAAATCCTCACCGTAGCCCGTACGAGGCAGATTGGAGGCAGTATGTAACGTGGCTCTTCTTGGGTCGGACTTCGGCTGCGGAGGGTCTTCCTTAAAAGATCGATGTTAGAAGCATTCTTTGGGGCATGGCTTCTCAGAGTTCGGCACGGACAGATGCTTCAGCATTTGCACTTTCGGCATGCGACAGCACACGTTTCGGGCGATCGCAAAAGCAAAAGAACTCGGACTGGCTATGCTGCCGCGGCGGGTTTTCGACGACTGCCGGAATCATGCCGGTGATTAACATGGAAAGACTATATTCTACAAGACAAAGCTATGCTGGGGTGTACTATGTTACACCATGTTCAACAATGTCATACTTTGTTTTGCCGTAATATACCATACCATACCACCATACCAACCATGCTATCCTATACGATATTCTCCTGGGCTAGACTTCATAGTACTATGTTCTGCTGTTCTACAGCATGATGCTATACCATGCTACAGCATGTCGTGGACCAGGCAACTCCACAACGAGGTTTGAGACAGTTCCCACCTCGAGGCGGTCTCTTGTGAACTCTTACACAAACCTCTTCAACCGTATGAAATACTTGTTCATCCAAAAAGCCTTTAAGAAATCCTTATCCTTACCCCTGAGCGCTTTTTAGAACCGTATCTCTGCTTGTACCGTATGCCCGGTTGAAAGCAATAAGGAACCTCCGGCGCTTGCTGGGCGCCGGCCGGGCAATGGAGGTTAGCGTGATAATGTAGGAACCTGATTAAGAAACCTTGGGCCTCTAACCTCCAAAACAGTAGGGTTCATATAAGGAACCCTAATAAAGGCCCAAGGGTTCTTAATCAGGTTCCTACAATAGGGTTTACTGTACGGTTCAGAGGATTCATGGGTTTGAGGTGCAGGGTTTTTGGTTTGGGGCTCAGGGAACCCATGGGTTCGCGGCTCTAGGTTACAGGAATTTGAAGTTATTGAGGGGGTTTCGGGTGTAGGGTTTTACAAGCTTAAGAGTTTGGGGTGTAGGGCTTAGGGCTGCAGGCATCTAGGGCAGGTCTTTATGAAAGCTCACAGGATCTGTTGTTCTTACTTTTTCCATTTGTGTGGCTCTCGTTTGAGGTGTCGAGTTCACCCATGGGCTTGACTGCAAAGTTTGGGTTCCTCATTATCTTGTGTCCTGCTTCCGGGGTACTGAAGGTGATGATCCTACTGTTTCATGGTGGGATTTTCTGGTAATGCGGCTCCTAAACTCCCAAATACGACCTGATAGGATACGTCTGTTTGACTTACATATACACATGTCTCTCTCTCTCTCTCTCTCTATATATATGTGTGTGTATGCATACACACACACATATATATATATATATATATATACATGTGCATGTCCATGTACATGTACGTACATACATACTCACATACCATACCATACCATACCATACCATACCATACCATACATGCCATACGCACATGCATCCATGCATCCATGCATGCATACATCCTTGCATCCACGCATAGATACATCCATACACACACCTACATATGCATACGTACATGCATATATGCATAAGTATGTACGCATGTACGTTAATACATATATATATATATACACATAGATGCACGCATGTGGGTGTACAGGTACATATACATACATATATATATATATATATATATATACACATACAAATAAATGCGTACATCTACCTATCTGTCTATCTATCTATATATATGTATGTATATATACATATATGCTGATGAAGAGAGCATGCACATAACGAACATATAGTAGTATATGCGTATGTTCATGTGTATGTTATTGTACAGCATATGAGCTTCTGTGCTCTCTGGATTCTATATCTGTAAAGATTCGGATCTGTGTGGTTCGGATTGGATTTGAGGCTCTCGTGGCTGAGGGTTCAGTATTCAAGCTTATGGCTTCGTGAGCTTGCGTCGACGGCTCTAGACTCTGTTTAGACTTCGGGAACTGGAGTCAATATCGACGAGGACTGGGGGGGTGGGGGATGGCTGTAAGTTTGAGTGGGTAGTTGTCAAAATTATGGCCCCTTTTTGGGTACCCTAAACATTAGGTGCCGTATTTTAATAGGGAAACTCTAAACCCTAAACCCCAGGGTTTTAGGGTTTAGGGTTTTCCGCTGATACATTCAGCATCTTTCAACACAGGTGGTGCTGTCTGGAGATGATGTGGATGCCCAGACAGCAGACACTTGGCAAGGTATTGTGCAGGCTCACGCTCGATTTCGGCTGGAACTAGACATCCTTGTGTTTGGGAGAATCTGGCTGTAAGGTAGAAAAGCCAGCCTCAACGCCTCAACGACTATAGATTCGTGTGTCGCGTGGGTCCAGTGGTCAAGGGTTTGCAAGGGTGCACATAACCATAACGATTTAGCGATCATGCGTTGGGGCTTATGTTTGAGTTTTACCAGGTACAGTCGAAGTGTTTGTCTCGGCGAGCACTGCGTCGAGGTCGATGGCATGAAGGACACCATCCTATGTCTGTAGGATTTGACACGTTGTGCTGGTGGTCAACATCTACCTATCTTATGCAGAAGCAAGAACAAAAGCCTAAGCACAAACACGGCACCTTATAGTTGTTTAGACCTAAACCAGAAACCCTCAACAGTAGGCCCTTGACACCTACACCCTAAACCCCAAGCCCGAAACCCTATAGAATCCTAATTGCAACCCTTAAGCCAACCCTAAAAGTAGCCGTTCACGCCCCAAGCAGCGGAATCAAAGGAATCCTAATCCCTAAGCCCTACAAACCCTAAACCCTATAAACCCTCAACCCTAGACCCTAAAACCCACGATCAAAGGAATCCTAAACCCTAATCTAAACCCTATAAACACTCAACCCTAAACCCTAAAACCCTTAAAATCCACAAGCAAAGGAGCGCTGGGGTCTCCTCAACCGCTGCTTCGAAGACAAAGCGAAGCTTCGAGCAGCCCGGCCCCGGAAGAAAGACTGAGTTTAGGGTTTACTATAGGGGTCTAAATAATTGTGAGGGCTCCTTACTATAATTGTAGTATCCTATTCTAATTATTTAGGCCCCTATATTAGGGTGGATCGTAGGGTTTAGGGTTTATGGGGTTCGGGGTTCAGGTTGAGGGTTTAGGGCTTATTGAGTTTAGGGTTCAGGGTGGATCCTCGGTTTTAGGGTTTAGGGTTTATAGGGTTTTGGCATTTAGGGTTTATAGGGTTTAGGGAGTATAGGGTCTAGGGTTTAGGATTAGGGTTGTTCATTTAAATATGTGTATACGGTATGCATGCTTGGACGGATTCATGTAGGTGTGTGTGTGTGTGTGTGTGTGTGCATGCAGGCATGGATGCGTGTACAAATACAAGATACAAGTGTAAGAAAAACACGTATACAAACAATGCTCAGATGTTTATGTGTGTGTTTACATATATATATATATGTATATATATATATATATATATATATATATATATATATATATATATATATATATATACGAATATGTGTGTGTGTGTGGTTTTATAGTTGTATGTACATACGTAAATTTTGCTAACATTGTTTTACACTCGCTTGCTCGTGTTTTTTACCCGTATTTGTTGTCTCCAGGTGTTTATATGGGGCAAGGATGACGAGGGTAGGCCCTCAACCCCAAGCAAGCGGGATGTTTGTCTTTTGGACTTTGTGTGTTTAAGAGGATCTCATTTACGCATGTCAGTGGGAGGCTTCGAAGGGTCCGCGCTGAATATTATGATATTGTGTTATATAGCTAACATTTTTGCGTTGTATTATAGGCATAGTATATTCTGTAAAGTATTAACTCTCTCTCTCTCTATATATATATATATATATATGTATATCTTTACGCATACACAAATGTGTATATACATGTGTATATATATAATACAATTAATTAATTAATTAATTAATTAATTAATTAATTAATTAATTAATTAATTAATTAATTAATTAATTAATTAATATATATATATATATATATATATTCGCCTACCGAAAGAGTTTCGATCTTGGGGTTTGCAGGGCGTGCAATGCTGAAGGATGCTATTTGCAAGCAGGGTGTCGGTTCAGGACGCTTAAGAAGCAGCTTCACATTCACGCTTTCGGGTTCACATAAGGTAGGGTAAGTATGGGATGTAAATCCTAAACACTAAACCCAGGATACTACCGCAGCAGAATGCATTGGGTGTGACAAATTTGGAGGATACTGCCGGAAAGGCGGGCTTAGGGGTTGCGGGTTTGGAGGCTTCAGGTACGGGCTTAGGTTGCAAGGGTTGAGGGTTACGGTTACGGTTTCAGAAAACGGAAGTGGCAAGCAGAGATAGTCGTCATGGCAGTCATCACCCATCTTATATCAAGGGTACGACTTGTACCGTGAAGAACGGTGGTACTGACAATGGGAATGATACTTGAGAACTTCGAGTAACCTAGTAGCAGGCATGCTGATATAGATGGCCAAGGCCGCCTTACTAGTCTTAGATAGTGAACAGGGGAACTTTAAGCTTTTTGGCTTTATATATTAGCTCTATCTTGGAAAGTTTGAACTTTTTGGGGCCCGGTTGTTGAAGAAGAGAGTAGTAGCTTTCATGGACCACGTTCCTTATTCCTCGACCATGCGGCATATGAGATTCAATACATATGCATGTCATTGTGGTTGATTTGTTCGCCAGGTTTCGGATGCAGTCGTAGGTATCAGATTTTTGGGCTCGATGTGGGCTTCGTCACTGTACGGTCTTGTTGGATTTTCATCGCCGGGTTGACAGCGCACCATGGTCGGCAAGGTTAGCTGCAGAGAGTTGTGGCCAAGTAGTTCTCAATGAAAAACTTTATCTTTCAGCCCTTATCCGTACAGCCTGAACCCCAATGCATCAAACCGCAAATGCCTGACCCTCCAAATCCTGAACGCTAAACCCTAAAGTCCTAAACCTTAAACTCCGACAGCTCGGAACCCTAGACCTTAAGGTTTAGAGTTGAGTGTTTAGGGTTTAGCGTTTAGGGTTTAGGGTTTAGAGTTTAGAGTTCGGATTTAGGGTTTAGAGTTTAGAGTTTAGAGTTTAGGGTTTAGGAGGGTTCAGGGTTTAGAGTTTAGGGTTTAGGGTTTAGAGTTTAGGGTTTAGGAGGGTTCAGGGTTTAGAGTTTAGGGTTTAGGGTTTAGAGTTTAGGGTTTAGGGTCTAATCCGAAAGCCAGAAAGCCAAAACCCTAAATCGCAGGCACATGTCGATGCTTTGGCTGCCCGGTTGGCTTCTTTTCCGCCTGAGGCGGGGGGGAGTGCAAACCTCTTACACTTTGTGGCTTAGGGCTTGGGCTCAATGCTCCTGGTTTGTGGGCTTTTGGGTTGAGGACACCCGCAGATACCGCTGTACATGGCTGTACGAAGTCCTCCTTGTCGAAGCACTAGTGCGGCATCGAATACGCATGCTTATGCACCTCAATCTAGCCTGGCCCCCAACCAAAGCCTTCTAGCTTGAGTTTTCCAAGGAGGTAGTCATTGAAGATGGGAGTTTCGGCATCCTGACATAGCTTGGGGGCTGAACCTAGTCCCACAGCTCCGACGCCCAAACAGCTGTTCTGTTGAAGTTGGTGAGGATGTTGCAGTTTAGGTCTTGCACGCTGATGCGCAGGATAGAGCCGAGGGTCTGGAGATCAATATTCGTTCTGGGCAGGGGGTCGAGGCAGTAGCACACAGGGATCTGTAGCAGGTTCCACTCTTGGAAGAATATTTGGCTGAAATGTGCATTAATTATCATTCACTCCCGCAACCATCTGCTGACCGCAGAAAGATCGCATCGGCCAGTGCGAAGCAACCTCGCAAGCCGGCTTGATGTAGAGCCCTGCATAGTAAACCCTCGTTCTTGCAGTGCCTTCATGTTGACATGCCAGTTAGGCTGCTTTTACATATCCTGATGAAGGGACCACAGATTTCCTTCTAATGCATGGGTGCACATGATGTCGCTGTTTTTACTTTCCTCTCCCCTCCAGCGCTTCCACCTTCCAATATGGGAGTTTCCGAACGCATTTTGGGGTCCTTCTAATAAGGATCCTACTATTTAGAGTTCTTACTTAGGGTCCCCTCTTTTCGGAAACCCCCATATGGTCAAAGGGTCGAAGCCAGACCACTCCATCTTCCAACACGTTTTGCTATCAGAGTTGAGTGTTTGGGTTTAAGTTTAGTGACACCACACCGAACAATGCAGTATTTAGTTTAGGGGGTTTAATCATAGCTAGAACAAGGCTTTGAATGTGGGGTATAGCTAACTAGAATCTGTGGCCCTGAGTTATTCAGGCTTCTACTGAACTTCTGCACCTACAGAAACCTGCTGGCCTGAGGCACTGCGCTGTGCGAAGGAGGCCTTTGGTAGGAGCTTAGTCGGTGCAGTCTTCAGCATCCACAGCTTAGGGTTTTGTTCGGGGTTTCGGTGTCTTGCAACTCCCATCATCATGTCGGCCAATTCCCAACAAGATCCAGAGGCTCCACTGCAAAAAACATGGGAGCGATGGACAGATCCCTAACTAACCAACCTCGAGAGCTGCCTGCTGCCGGCATGTCGCTGGCATTTCACGGGCTATCATCCAACGCTTCCTCTTAAAGTTATGTCTTGAAGTTGCTTTGAAGGATCGAGGTGTTCTGCTAAAGCTTGGGAAGTATGCCGTAGGGTTTAGGGCGGAAGGGTCAGGGATCTCGACGGATGGGGTTGCGGGTCTAGCGTCCAGGAATCAGAGTCACGATTGCAGTGGGAAGAGTTTAGGCTTTTAGGGCTACCGGGCGGATGTGTGCAGGAAACCCTGATCTGTCGGCCCGAGATCTTCAACACTTTCCTGACGCACCTTCCACCCCAAACCCCAGGAGCCTAAACCCCTAAATTCTACTCCTAAACCGCAAACCCGTAACCCTGCAACTTGAACACTCTAAGACGTAGTTCGTCCCTGAACCGCTGTAGGTGCCTCAACTACCCCATATCAAGAACCACTGACCCCAAACGCTAAACCCCCCTAAACCCTAAGCCCCCCTCAACCGCCTGGTAGGCAGTGCTGGCAGCCGAGCGAATGCCTCACACGGAGGCAGCGCGAGTTGCGACCGTGCAAAAGTCCTAAACCTAATTCCTAAAGACTTCCAGCACAATCATAGGCTGTACTTTAGTATGTTTGGGCCCCAAATTTATGTAGATACTAAACTATCACGTGGACGCTTTGGGATTCAGGGGCCACCTTGTTACAAGCTGAATCCCTTGTCTAATCTCTATGTACTCTGATGTTTACGAACTACAAAATATGACAAAGCCCGTTCTAAGTATGATGGCCCATCTGTACCTCGAATATATTAGGATCCATATTAAGAACCCTAAAAAGGACCCAAGGTTTCTTAATCAGGTTCCTACATTAGGGTTTTAGGGCTTAGGTCGTTTATGCAAGATTTTATCGGACGTCCCATGCGAGAAGAACGCAGGCGATCCTTACTGGAGTAGCTAGTTCCCTAACTGATTCCGTCTAACTACATCACCGCCTTCGCTGTCTTTGGCGTTGGCAGAGCTTAGGGCGTTTAGGGTCTAGGGCCACCCTACCTATAGTCTCCATTGTAGTTCCTTTTTTTTGGTTATCCAAAATCTCTATTAATTATAGGTTCCTAACCATAAAACTGGTTAACCAGAAAAAGGAACTACAATGGAGACTATAGGTAAACCCTAAAGCCCAAACACCAGGCGCTGAAGGAGAACCTGATGCTTTTCTACCGCTCTACTCGGGGACCAGAGGCTAGGCTACGCATGGAGCCGGGGCCTCGATCGCGGGTCTACAGGGGCCTGAATAGTTACCAATATTAGTTTGGTGGTTCATTAGTATGATTATAGGATAACGGGTCCCCAAACCCTATTTGTAATTACTAAGGCCCCTATATTACATTATATGCTTTAGCAGTCGAGCCTGAGTGAAAGTGAAAGATGTAGCACAGTGTGAGTTTGCGGGACTTGCAAGCTGTCATAGGAGGCCAGAAAGGGTTTTAGCCAATGGGGGTTTAGTAGGGATTAGGGTTCCCATAAGAGGGTTCATATTAGGGAATCCGTACCCCAAGAATCTTAAACCCCCCTTATGGCCTCCCATCATTGTCATCGTTTCGACGAGTTCAGGTCTTTCCTCAAGAACGGTGGCCAGACTTTGGCTGGTGAGCAAGAGCTGCAGAGAACACTCAGCAAGCTCTGATGTGCCAGGGTTTAGGGCTTAGGCTTAGGGTTTGGGGTTTAGGGCATAGGGTTTCAGGCTTAGGGTTTAGCACCCCCGCAGCCAAAGTTGCTTCAACTCCTGCGAAAAGCACTGAGCCTGAAATCTCTACTGCCCAGGGATACGCTTCAGCTGCATCTTCAATGGGCTATCGACATGGCTTAGGTTTCGAATCATTGGGTTTTAAAGCTGCATAGGATAACATTGGTCTAGCTCGGATTCTTTGCATACTTTATGTGTAAGTGTAAGCTGCAGGGTCCAAAAGCCTGGGACGGGAATCGAATGGGGGTTCTCCTTGTTGCCCCTTCTTCGGATTGTTGTGTCATGTATTCTCGTCCACCCACCTACCTCAATGGACTCGATAGGCCCAACTTCGCAGACCGACAGCCAAAACACTGAAACCAACTACCTTAAGGAGCTGTAGTAATGTAGTAGCCGCCAGAGCGTGTCCAGAACGCAGCAAAGGCCTTACGCCTTATGCCTCGAGCCTGTGTGAATGCAGGTTTTCGGTCAGGCGACTGCTTCGGCAAAAAGATGCGATGCGACGTGACAAGTGACCAGCACGACGAGGGAAGTGACCTCTACGCATAGGCGCCATAGTTGTTCCTTTTTGGGATTACCTTATAGGATTCTAAATATGAACCTCAAAATGGAACTACTATGGGGCCTATGGGTAAGTACACCTCAGAGCAGAACATAGAAGATTCCTAGTACGGCGGCTGGCCATCGTTGCATGACCCTTAACCCTAAATGCTGAACCCTCTGTGTGTGTGTGTGTGTGTGTGTCTGTGCATGCAGTGTAGCTCGACGATCTTTTGAGATCTGCGTTAACCAGCTTATGTTTAGGATTCTATAATAGCCCAAAATCGGAACTGCAATGGAGACTATGGGTCTTACTTCGTGCATGTCCAGGCACACAAATGCAATGTATGGTTCGGTTTTCCTAGTAGCTGAGTGGATACACTTTACACTTTTTTGGGGTAATATTACCCACTATAAGACTTAAAGTGTACACTTTTGGGGGGCTTATGAACTCAGCAACTAATTTGTTGTATGGGACGAGCTCATTCACCCGACTAAGGGAAACATGTTTTGGGGTGGCGCAATCTTACGCGCCGGTAGCCGAAATTGCGATGACAGTGCACTCTGGGCATTGTCGCATCAAGCCCCAAACTCCTACAAGCCAGTAAAACCCTGAACTTTACCCCTTAGATTCCTTGTAGAACAATGCAGGCCCTATAGACCCTAAACCCTAAACCCTAAACCCCTAAACCCGCGAAACCCCTAAAGCCTAGCTGATTCCTTCTAGAATTGCAGACCGGAAGGTTTTAACCCTTACAGATCCCGTATAGCAGCCTTTCGGGCTCCTTATTGAACCCATTCTCAATCCTAGCTATAGGCTTTAGGGTTTAGGCTTTCGGGTTTAGGCTTTAGGGTTTAGGCTTTAGGGTTTAGGCTTTAGGGTTTAGGCTTTAGGGTTTAGGCTTTAGGGTTTAGGCTTTAGGGGTTTAGGCTTTAGGGTTTAGGCTTTAGGGGCCTAGGGTTTAGGGGTTTGGGGGTGTAGGGTTTAGGCTCTAAACCCTAACCCGTCGTGTCTCTAAGGCACACCACAGCGCTGGCTGAGGGCTGAGGGCTCGAACGGTCCGGCATAGGGCTGAGCGTTTAGGTCTAACGGGACTTATAGTAAGTCAGGTTATAGTAAGGTTACAGTAAAATGAGGATTACCCGGCCCTACTTAGGGCACTTACTTATAATTATAACCCAAATTATTACCCTGCCCTACTTGCTAAGTCTCTTGAGGCTGAAGCGTAAGGTTACAAGTATATGTAAGGTTACAGTATGAAAAGGATACCTACCGCTCGCAGGGCACTCATAGCCCAAAGTCATAACTCTGCACTACTTACTGAGTCTCTTGAGCCGTTAAGCTACAGGGTTCGGCTTAGGGCTGCGGTTTAAGGTTCTGGGTTGGGCTAGGGTGCTTGGTTAAGGGTTCTGGGTCTAGGGGTCAGGGTTGGGGTTTGGGCGGTTTAGGGTTTAGGGCTTACTTACAGCAACCGAGACCCCCTTAGAAATAGACCCCCTTAGAAATTGAAAGTCGTAAATGCACCAGTTTTTAAGGGTCCCTATTCTTACCTTTGGTTAGTAGGGAATGGAGGAATGGGGTACAATTATAACTACTATTACTACCATTCTTCCATTCCCTACTCACCAAAGGTAAGTATTCAAAAGGTACATTGGTTTCTCTAGGCAGGGCTAAGGTTCCGGGTTAAGGAGTTAATTAGATTCAAGGTATCTCCTCCTTTTCCCCGCCAGGTTTGATCCGCGCCCGAGTTTGTTGTGGGGTTTTGTTGTACCAGCTGAACCTTGGCAGTTTCACCGATTGAGCATCGAAGGTGAGCCGGAAAACGACTGGTAACGCAGATGTTGGGCCCCAGAGCCTAAACCCTAAATCCCTCAAACCCAAACCCTAAAACCGAAAACCCTAAAACCTAAATCCTAAAACCCTAAAACCAAAACCCCAAAACCTAAAACCCTAAAACCTAAACCCCAAAACCCTAAAACCCAAATCCAAAGCCATAGACCGTGAGGTTGGGTGCCGAGGTTTACTACTATTTGCTTAAGAACCCCCCCCAAAAAATTAAAAAATATATTCCTTATGGGGGTAATATTGGGATTATTATTTTTATTTTTGGGGGTTTCTTAAGCAAATAGTAGTTTAGCTCGGCTGCCCAGGCCTGCACCCGGAATCGCGAAGAACCCGAAACCTCTGCTCGAAAGCTTTACTCGCCTGGGCCCAACAGGGCCCATGTATGGGAGTTTTCGGAAACAGGGGACCCTAGTATCGTACCCTAAATAGTAGGGTAAATATACACATTTTCAGAAACCCCCATATTGCAATGACAGACATAATATTAGATTGCAAGCTCCCCATATCATAATGGAAACCCCGAAACCCTACATTATAATGTAAACCACCTCGTTATAATAGAAGCTCTAAATGTCAGGTTATAATCTAGAACAAACACATGTTTGTAATATATACCTCTATGAGCCCGATCAGGCACGGGGCTTCATAGTGTGAACGGAAAGAACTTGAAGCTCAAAGCCAGGCTTTTGGAAGAAACTCGGTTTAGGGTTCAGGGATTACGGGTTTAGGGCTTTAAGGCTCAGGATTGAAATTGTTTTAGGGGTTTAGGGTTTAGGATTTAGGGGTTCTAAGCTTTGGGGCTTAGGGAATACGAGTTCGGCAGGGTTTTTAGGGTTTCGAGTTCGGCAGGGATTTTTAGGGTTCGTGTTTGGTAGGGTTTTTAGGGTTTCGTGTTTGGTAGGGTAGGGGGTTTAGGGTGCAGGTTTCAGGTTGCACCGTCATGCCTAATTAGTCGGCTTCGGGTGTTGGACTTTCGGGTACATACTCAATTGCCAGCCCTAAACCCTAAACTTTGAATCCTTGAGCTTTGAACCCTAAACCCTAAAACCCTAAACCCCAGTTTCAGAAGATGAGCGTGCCAGCGCACGGCCCGCGCTTTTGGTAGGATCCGACTTAGAGGTTCATGGGACTTAGTAACTAGGGTTATAATGAAGGTAGCTATACTTTCACTGATTTATAACCCCAATTAAGGTACTTACTATGTCCCATGAACCTCCAAGTATCAGATGGAAGACCTCGGAAAAGGAATCCCAGGTTCACAGTTACATAGAGCTTCAGCTACCTAAATAGTAGGCCACTGGGGTATATATGTGGTTGGTAACCTACTATTCAGGTAACTGGAGCCCTAGGGTGTGCTATTGTTGCGCAGTTGTGTTCGAGATCATTCATAGGAGGCCAAAAAAGGTTTTAGCCAAGGGGGGTTTAGTAGGAATTAATTAGGGTTCCCATAAGAGGGTTCCTATTAAGGAATCCCTACCCCAAGATTCTTAAACCCCCCTTGTTGGCCCCGCATCAAAGTTAAGAAACTCTCCTTCGGGGAACGGTCCGGGTCAGAGCCTAGGGTTGAGGGCTAATCCCTTCCTTCTAAGGTTAAAACGCCCCCCCCCCCCCGGCGCCCTAATGTAAAACAAGTTTTCGGGATTTGGTGTTAATATTATTGGGGTGGGAATCGGGGCATCCGGGTATGAGCCGGATTGACAGTAATTAGTGTTCTCATTTTCGTGATTTTGCATCCTAGGCTGCCTCGAGTTCAGGGTTTCAGTTCCACGAATTTGATGTATTCCGGAACGCCTGGCCCCGAGTGGTAGAGCTCCCGAGCATTTCCTGGAGTTGCAATGAATGGGTTACTGAGCAGTGGCCTTGGTGAACGTGCACGAAACCGCAACACCAAAACACAACATCCAAGGAGTGGAGGGTTAACGCCAGGGTTTAGATTGAGAGCTCTGCACCAGCATAAAGCCCGCTCTAGCGCGAGGAAAGTCCGAGAACAGCAGCAGGCCAAGCAGACACGGCGGCGCATCTTGGCAGCCATCTGTCAGAGCTACAGAGCGGTAGGACGTTTCATGTTTGATGGCCGGTGTTGTCTTAGTATCATGCATGTGCGCTGCAGCTGTGATAATATTAGAGTCGGCTCATGGTATGCATTTGTTGGAATTCGTGCTTCGCATTTACTCGGCGTCTGCTGCCTCAGGGAAATGATGTCACGGTGATATGGAGGATTACGTTGACGATGACGACGATCCGCACGAACCCTATTGAGCTCATGACTATGGGTACTCGTTCTGTTGCTGGTAACGGCCGTGATTTCTTCATGCTGGTGACAGTGATAGGGCCAGCAACACACGCATGCGAAGCACTAGAGAACATGGTGGTCCCGATGGTGGCTGATGCTGAAGACAATGACAACTACGGTGTAAGGAGGTGCGTTGACGATGGCGATGCTGCAGCTGATGGTGACGACGATGATGATGATCAGTGTAGTGGTAGCGGGGAAGAAGAAGATGTTGACGGCTACTGAGGTACGGAATCTAAAGGAAGGCAAAGGCATGGAATG